TCATTTGTTTTCTTTAGATGTTCGAAGCTTTTGCGATATTGGAGGCCTCCTCGGGCAGCTATTAGGTAGGCCATCTTGGAGCCGTCTTGGGGCAGTCTGGGGGCCCCTTGGAGCATCTCTGGAGCCATCCTCACGCATCTTAGGCTGTCTTCAGCCGTCTTGGAGACCATCTTGGGCTCCCCGAGGCGCTCTTGGAGCAATCTTGACCATCTTGGACGCTCTGATGACCGCTCGCGGAGCGCCCCGTCCAGGTCCGGGGGGGGAGGTAAGGGGAGGGGCACACCCCTCCTCGAAGGGGAAGAAGGGAGGTGGAAGAGAAAACTCCCAACACCACCTGCATCTAAAGGGCTGGTGGGATTGAGTGCAGCGTTCGAATGGCAGCACTGGTCCAGATCCTCTCCGAATGCGACCATTCCCCGGCCCCCTCCCACCCCGACCCCGTCATCTTCCCATTCCCACCCTCCCTTTGAATCCTTTCTCCCTGTCACCGCCCCGTCCTCCCACACTTGCAGAACGCGATTGTGATTCCTGTCCTGCTACGTTCGGGCAATCGATGTCAAACCTCCAAGGAAAAATCTCCGATCCCAGAAAGCACGGAACCCGCGCCACAGCTGCCCGCGTAACGGCGTGCGAGCACCCGCGTGAGGTCAGGCAGTGCGGCCCCCCCCATCGGGATACGCGACTCTACGGGCCCTTCCGTTTACAGACGCGCGGCCGCCCGGCTGCGCCAACTGCCACAGGGCGAGGGGGTCCGCAGCCGTCTCAGCTGAGACGCGGCTCAAAATCCGAGCCCCGAGCCCCCGCCCCAAAATCGCTCGCGGCCACGCCGGCCTTTCCTGCAAGATTCGTCAATCATCGCTTCGCTCCTTCCGCCGGCCCGTTTCGCATCGCCGCGTTTCTTTCGGGTCCTCGTTTTTTTTTTGGGGGGGGGGGGCCTCTTGGAGCTTGGGGGGGGCTCTTTGGTGACACTCTTTGAGAGCCTCTGTGAAACCTCTTGAGGGCATCTTGGAGCTTTTTCTGGCATTTTGAAACCCTCCTGGACCCTTTGGGGGGCATCTTGAGGCCGAAGCTCGAAATGTCCGTGTGAATGCTCTGTTTCGGCTATCTGTTTGAGCTGTTTTGGGTGCTTCCTGTGCCGTTGTGGGGCCCCTTGGGACTGACTTCGAAGCCCTCTTGAACCGTTTACGCGCCCTCTTCAAGACCTCTTGGGCCATGTTGGGGCGGCACTGGCGGCCTACGGGCCGTTCCTGGCGTTCACGGGCGCTCCCCGGGGCCGCGCCCAAGAATTCCGGCATCTAGCACGAAAGCAACCCTGGGACCTGCCCGGGGTAATTGTCGCCCAGGAACCCCGAGAGCCGCCCAGCGCGCGCGAACGAGAAATTGTCTTGAATAGGTGCCGGAAATCTTCCCACGCCTCTGGCCCGTTGGGCCGGCGAATTTTCATGTGTCATTTGGTGCGGAAAAAGGATCGTGCTTATTGGCGTGTTTGTTGGCTCTTCTCACGCTGACAAGCGTCCAGAGCTGCCCATCTCTGAAGCTATGTATGGCCCCGCATATGCCCGAGAATGGGCAAATCAGTTGCGTGAGTATTGTACCAGTGAACGCCCCAGCAAAGATGCTGCAATCAAGCGCTTGGACAAATTGAAGCTTCAATTGCAAAAACAAAAGGATGCTGGCATCAACAAAATGGACCCTGGAACTCGTGCAACACAGTCCGCGCTGCAGTCTGGCCTGCATCCGCCAGTACAACGCGCGCTTATGCATGCGGTTGTTGATCATTTACGGCCTGAGGGGCCAGTGACATACCGAATTCGCCATCGTGCTGACTGTCGTCAATTGTTTGAAGTTGTGGATGGTATGCTGCGCAAGGGCATGGACACAGTGCAATGGATTTTGTGGATTTTGTACCTTCATTTGATCTCGCGCAAAAAGCCGCTTCAGACTGCGACGAAAAATGCCCCAGCTGTGTGAACTAAGGCTGCGGTGCGAAAAAACGCTGTTAGAGGTCAAACGGAAGTGCGCGATTGGCGAAACTTTGTGGGACACGAGGCGCCCGACAGGGGGCGTTCAGAAAGCACTGGAAGTCCTTGAAGGGCATTCAGAGTTGAAGAGTTTCGCTGAACATGTAGCGTCATTGCAGTGGGCCGATTGGAGACCACATCGTCTGGACACCTCTTTGTCGGCCACTCTGCCATTGTTGGGCTACGATGGGTATCGCCGTGGAAAAAACATTGCGATTCCTGAGTGACGCAGCGCGCCACATTTCTGGTCAACTGGTTGCGCGGCAGCGGCAAGATTGGGAAGTTCTCGTGCGCATGTTGCCAAGCACCGCAGAAGTGGCCAATGAGTTCGATTTGGCTACATTCGACAAAGCAAATGCAGGTTGTGAGTACGTGGGCGCCATGCTCGCGGCTCTCTGCCCCAAAGCACAATGGCCTCCTATGTCGTTATCAGACCTTTCATGCGGCCTGTGCTTGGAACACCAAACCGATGCGCCGCATAAAGATGATGATAGGTACATGCCGGCAGCCAAGAAGCGACGGAAGCGCAAGTAGTTCTTTGGTGAACTCCCTTCCGACGCCGGCTACAGTATGATGTGCGATTGAATTGTCCGCTTTCTTTGGTCAAGAACGCTGCTCCGACAACTACTTCGCCATGTTATACTGCTGAACGCTGCGGCGTTCCCCAGCAACCCCGCTACAGAGCGCGCCCCAGCGCGATGCAGGTGCCCCGGTGCAGGAGGAGGGGGGGGAAGGGGAGGAAAAGAAGGAGGAAGAAAGGAAAAGGGAAAGGAGGAAGAGGAGATAACGGAAAGTAGTCTGATCCGCTTCGCCAAAGATATACTCGCAACTCCGACCTCGGAAGCGCCTTGCTTCGCATCGGTGCCGCCGTTTTCGCTTGAGACATCATCGCACCTCTGGGGCCCGAGACACTCTCAGTTGATGTGTTCCAGCCACTGTCGCCTGAGACACTCTCGCACGTCTCACTTCGGAGGTGCCTTGCACCATGGTGGTTCGGCCACTTTCGCGTGCGACTTCTCGCAAGTCTAAGTTCAGGGATGCCCTGAGCAGAGGTGTTCAGACCACTCCTCGCTTGAAACTTCCTCGCCTGGCTGACTTCGGATATGCCCTCCCATGAGCGGAGGTGTTCAGGCCATTTTCACCCGGGACGTCCTCGCAACACTGACCTCGGCGACGCACTGTCCCATGGTAGTCTGACCACGTTTGCCTGAGACCCTCGCGCGTTTTAGTGGCGCGTTGATATGCGCAACTGCTCAGGCCGCACACATAGTTACACTGACCATTTGCATATACATGTACATATCCATACAAACGCATCTATAATGTACATATGTACTATGCATTCATAGACGCATGTGTGTGCGCATGTACGCACGCTCGCACTCCGCTAGCGTGCGAATGCCAAAGGACCAAGGTGCATGGCGCGCAGCGCCAATGCAGTCTTGTATATATATATAAATATATATTCCTCTTCTTATATTTTACAAGCTCGGACGGGGGAAAAGCCCTCACCTCCCCCCCAAAAAAAAACTGGACTCCCGGGATCTGGGGCTTTGGGACCTTCCGGAGGGGCCTCGAAGCGGCCCCCCGGGCCTCGCAGGGCGTTTTGCCAAGCCTTCCCAGCACACCTAGGGCGATCAGGGGGGTCTCTTTTTTCGGTTTCCCGACGCTCCAACACGGCGGTCTTCTGGGCGTCCGAAGCCGCCTGGGAGGCTCCCAAATCGCCCCGCAACCATCCGAAAAGGCTTCCAGGCAGTCCAAGAGAGCCCCAACGGCACAACACGGGTCCAAGATGGCCCTCAGAGAGCCCCGTGGCAGCCCAAGATGGCCCCAAGACACCCTCCGAAGCATTCCAAATCGTGACCCGGTCGTTCAGGGAGACCGCGGTTGGAGGCAGGGTGGCCCGAGGAAGCCCCCAGAGGCCCCCAGAATACGCCCAGGAGGCCTCCAGAAGGCCGTAAGAAAGCCTGAAACAACTTTTGTGAGGCCCCCAGAGGCTCTCCCAGGAGGAGCCTCCGCAAAAAAGAGCTGAGGAGGATGGGGAGAATGCGCAGGGTATGGCGAAAATGAAAAAAAGAAGCATGGAGGAAGGATGACGAATAACATTATCATAGCGGCGATGCCAGAAAAGGCAACAAGGAGTTATCGCTGAATTGTCGGTTTGACCTTCATGCTATTCCGCCTGCGTACCAAACTTCAAGGACCAAGGAGCATGGCGCGAAGCGCCACTGCAGTCTTGTGTATATACATGCATGCATGCATGCATGCATGCATGCATACATGCATACATGCATACATACATACATACATACATACATACATACACACACATGCATACATACATACATACATACATACATACATACACATACATACATACATACATACATACATGCATGCATGCATGCATGCATACATACATACATACATACATACATACATACATACATACATACATACATACATACATGCATGCATGCATGCATACATACATACATACATACATACATACATACATACCATCCATCCATCCATCCATCCATCCATCCATCCATCCATCCATACAGACAGACAGACAGACAGACAGACAGAAAGAAAGAAATGCTGCATGCACACAAACATACATACTATCATCCTGTATGTATATAAATATGCTTTACATACGCGCATGTTCCACTCCATGGATTGCATCACGTAGCTCGCATCCCATGGACCTCAGACAATGCACATCGAAAGTGCCACATAGATGGACTGCACCACAGACGCTGGACATCGAGTGCAGCAACCGTTATTTAGGCGTCGTTTTCGGGAACGTATTCGGCAACGCGCGGCCCCAAAAGCATTCGGCTTTTTCGCCCAAGCGCGTTTCTTGACGGCCCCGGGGGCCCAAAAACGGACCCCTGGAGGCCGAAATCGCGAAGGAATGCCGACACCACGGAAAATCGCAACGCCACAAGCCTGGGCTGGGGGCGTCTGGGCCTGCACCTCCGCTGGCACAGGGACCTCCTCCATCTCCGGCACGCTCGGGGGCATTTGCGGCTCTGCGGCCTCGCGACCGGAGGGGGGGCGCACAGAGTTACCTGGCCACGGCAGGGCCGGAAGAGCAGGATGAGAGAGGACGGGGGGGGGGGTGAGGAGGAGGACCAGTGCAAATCCAAGGCGCATCACCGATGTTGCAATAAAGCGTCCACCAACGATGCTGCAATCAACCCCCTATCCAAGTTCACTCTTCACGTCCCTACAAGAATTTCTATTTACTGCTGGAAGTACCCCGTTGGAAAACAGCTGTCTGTCTGAGACCCCTTAACCCTACCAAAACACCAATCCTTGGATTTTAGCGCCACGAACCAACTTTAGCGTTGCGTTGCGCCGACCCTGAATCGTGCCAGAAGATCACTCTTGGGACGGACTTGAACGCACCACTCGCAAGACGGTCCCGCGAGTGACTCAACGCGACTGTTGCGCCCTGGCAATCCTAACCGCGCCGGAACTGTTGTGCACTTTTAACACATATGCGCGCGGCGCTACGGCGAGAACCACATGTTGATTACCACCCGCCCTCCATTAAAAACTCTCGCGCGCTTTTGAAACGAATTCGCGCGGCGCTAAGGCGAGAGCCACGGATGGGATGTCAGATATGGCGCGAGCGCGCCTAGCCTAACTTCCCCCCCCACCCACCCCTACCCTTATCCCACCACCCATAAACATCCCCCGCCTCCCCTCCCGCGGAGCCCCGACAGCGCCAGACGCAGCCCGAGGTGCGCCGGGGGGGCCCGCTGGCCCACGGACGATGCCCGCGAACGATGCCGCGAACCCCCATTCGGCCCCTCGCCCGGATGTCGCTGGAGGTCCCCTGGGGTTCTCTGGAAGTCCCCGGGGAACCTCTCGAGGCGCCCAGCAGCCCCAAAGAGGGAGAGCGCGGAAGAGGGGCGGTAGGAGGGGGGGGGTGAGGGCGAGCTTGGCGCGCTCGCGTCATCTCTGACGTCCTATCCGTCCCTCCCATCCCTTGCCATGGCGCAGATCTCCTCTCTATTCGCGCAGTCGGCTATCGAGCAGGGCAATAATCCCGAGGGTGCGCGATGCATCGTAGAGCACGGCGTAGCAGGGCGTAGAAGAGCACGGCAGAGCGTAGTGTGGCATAGCATGGCGTGGCGTTGCGTAGTGAAGAGTTGCGTCACAAAGCATTGCAGCGCAAAAAGAGGCATCGCACAGCGGCGCAGAAGAGAACATTTTTTCCATGGAACACAGCGCCATCATGTGCAACCGCGCCTCAGCCAGCACAGCGAAAGGATTCGCACTGCCACTGCAACCTTCACCTACACACGACAGCGCTAAGCAAGCCTGACGCCCGCGGTTCCCCAAGAAGCGCGCCGCTGAGGATGCGTGCAATGCAGTTCCCAGTGCAAGCGCCTAGATCGCCCAGCGCGTTGACAAGCACGCAAAGAAACGAAGTGAGAACCCAGCCTGCCGCAGGCGCCGGCTGGAGCGGACAATTCGTGCCCCCCCTGCGCAGAGCAGCAGATATCGGACTCCACAAGAGGAGGAAGGAGAAACCAGGAGGAGGCCTCGCCAAGGAGGGAGCGCGCGGAAGAGTGGCTCACCCCACCGCCACCATGGTGTCGCACCGCGGCACCAATGTCAAGACCTCCCCGTCCATCTTGGCGCTGCGACTCATGATGACCGTTGGAGCCACGTCAGGTATTTCAGGTAGCCGTCCCCGTGCCAGGGCGGAGGCTGTAGAGTGACGGGCACGGGTAGTGTTACCGGTGCGTCGCGGGCCCAGCAGCTCAACTCCCTGCGCGCAGGTCGTGCATCGAATTCAGTCGCTGGTGAGCTGGAGTCGGCGGCGTGCTGGAGTCGGCGGCCGTTGAGGGCTCAAACCGGACATAAAGCCCGCGCGCGAAGGTAGAGTTGGAAGCGGCGCAGGCGTCGGGGCAGGAGTCGGAGCTGAGATGGAGGTGCGCATGCACGGCCCGCATGGTGGAATGGGGCGGGCGGAGGTGAAGCCGGAGATGGAGAGCAAGCGTCGAATGTCGTTAAGTGGCGTCGGTGCTGGGGTGGGCTTTGGTATTGGTGTCGGCGTAGGTGCCAGTGTTGAGATTGGTGCAGGGGCTGTAGTCGGAGCGGAGGCGTTGGCGCAGGGGCTGTCGTCGGAGTGGAGGGGGAGGGTGGTCCATAGTGGAGCTGTCACCTTTGGGCTGGCCTGGGAGGGGCGTGGGAACCCGCCCATGCAAAGCCAGGAGAATTGATGCTGTAGGTCGGAATGCTGCGTTGGTGTTCGTCGGAGGTCGATAGGTGAATGTGTATGTGGAATGTTTGATGCTGGGCGTTGCAGGTGTTTGTGCTGGTTTGGTGGAGGTTGAAAGCCGATAGGTGGGGGCGATGGTGTGAACGTTGATGTCGGATGCTGGATGTGAGGGGTCAGAGCGCGGAACTGGTGGAGGTTGGAGGTCACCCGGTGGAGGTGTAATTGGAGTTGGGTGCTAGCTCCTGGGGGTGAAAGTGCCGAGTTTGTGGACGCGGGAGGTCGATAGGTGGAGGTGGATCCGTCGTGCTGCGCGTGGTACTCGTCGTGCAGCTCGTGGTATCCGTCGTGCTGCTCCTGGCACCTGTCGTGCTGCGGATGGCATCTGTCGTGCAGCTCGTGGTGCCCGTCGTGCTGTAGCTCGTATCGGTCGACGTGGGCGTGGTCTCCGTCGTGCTGCTCGTGGCACTCGTCGTGCAGCTCACGGAATCCTCTCTGTCAGTTGAGGCTGGCAGGCCTGTAGCTGTCCTGGCCGAGTGACCGATGGATTGTGGGAGGGCGTCTGCCCTGGACTCGGCCGGAGTCGAAACTGTGCGCGAGTTTTCTCGCACCCCAAGGGTGGACGCCGGCGTGTCGCCCTATTTGGGGGGTGCCAGCCTGTCGATATATTCCAGTGCTGCTCGTGGTCTCTGCCGCGCAGCTCGTGGGCCTCGTCGTGTTGCACGTGGTACTCGTCGTGCAGCTCATGGAATCCGCGATTGTGCTGTAGCAGGTGCAAGTGTTGGCGCCAGCGGCAGAGCTGGCGACGGCGCTGGTGTAGACGATGGCGCTGGTGCCGGCTTAGGCGCAGGCGTACAAGCTAGCGTGTCGGAACTGGCGTTGATGCCGGCGTAGGCGCAGGCGTTGATGCTGGCGACGGTGCTGGTGTCGGCGCTGGCGGGAACGCCGGTGTTAGAGCTGAGCTGGCGTTGGTGCAGGTGTGGGAGCTGCTGTAGGCGCTGACGTCGTTGCCAAAGGAGGCGCCAGCGTTGGCACATCGGCGCTGGCGCCGGCGCAGATTTAGGCGAGGCGCCGAAGTTGATGCTGGTGTCGGTGTGGACGTCGGCGCAGGCGCACGCGTCGGCGTTCGTGCTGGCGGCGGTGCTGGCATTGGTGCGGGCGTAGGCGCTGGCGTTGGTGCCAGGGCAGGCGCTGGCGTTCGTGCTCGCCTCAGAGCTGACGTCGGTGCTGGTGTCGGCGCTGGCGCTGGTGAGGTGTAGGCGCTGGCGTGGCTGCTGCAACCGTAGTGCTGGTATCGGCGCTGTTGCAGGCGTCGACGGTTGCGTTGGTGCCGGCGTTGGCGTCGGTGCTTACGTAGGCGCTGGCACTGGTCCCAGCGTTGGCGACGGTGTTGGGGCAGGCGGTGCGCATCAATCCCATGCGATGCGCTAAATGATGTAAAGCATGAGTCGGTTAGCTCCGTCTTTACAGCCGTTTATTCCTCGAAGTGGGATAGAGGGTGCTGCGTGCGGAAATAACAGAACATTCGTGGATCACAGTTCAGCATGCTGGCGTTGGCGCAGGTGTTGATGCTGGCGTCGGTGCTGCCGTCGGCGCTGGCAAGGAGGCGACACTGATGTTGGTGTCGATGGGGGCGTCGATGCGGGCGTCGGTACCGGTGCAGACGCTGGCGCTGGGTCAGGCGTAGGCGCTGACGGTGGCGCTGGCGTCGGCGATGGCGTCGGTGCTGGCGCAGGCGCGGGCGCGGGGGCGTGCGACTGCAGAAGGGGTGGTGGCAGCCAGAAAGCCAGGCGGTGCACGCATCTAAGCACGATGTCCGCCAAGGAAATGGGCGCGGCTGTCGCCGACGGGATCGAAGGTGAGGTTTTGCTGCTAGATCCACTAATGCTGGTGTGAAGGGTGCTGCTGGTTGTGCTGGTGCTGCGACTCCGGGCCGTGCTGGCCACAGTGGGATTGCTAGTAGCGCAGTTGCTATGCGCGGCGCTGGTCCCAGCTGCGGTGGTCACAGTGACGCTGCTGGTGACGCCGGTACTGCTGCGCGTGGTACTGCTGCGCGTGGTATTCCTTGTCCATGCAAGAAGCTCCTCCCTATCACACCCTGTGATTCGGGGGTCGATGAGCTGGTCGATGCGGGAGTCGATGTGCTGCTCGGGACGGGAGTCGGGAATCGCTTGGTCCAGACCTCCCAGGGACGGGGGCGGTGAGCTGGTCGATGCGTGAGTCGACGTGCTGCTCGGAGCGGGAGTCGGGAACCGCTTGGTCCAGACCTCCCGGTGTTAAGGCCCAGTAAGACGACCGGCGTGCTGACCCCCCCCCCCCTTCGCGACAAGAGTTGCGTCGCGCATGCGAGGCCCGTGCGCCGCCCGTGCGTCGGCCGCCGAAAAGGCCGGCCGTCCTCTCGAACGTGCACGTCGCCCTCGCAAGGGGGCAATTTTGTGAGTGCGTCGCCAGCGCGGCGGACACCCGCGGGGCGGATCGCACGCGCGTCGCCCGCTCCACGGCCGCTGAAAAGGCCAGTCGCCTTCGGGAAAAAGAAAGTCGCCCGCGCTGCGGCCCTCTCGGCGAGAAGAAGGCGGCCGCTGGGCTACCTCGGCAGATCAGCAAGTCCCTCTAACATTACAAATGCAGCGATGCTGCTGAACGCACCCCGGCGCTAGGCCAGCAGGTCCCCGCAGCCGCCGCCACAGCCGCCGCGACCGCCGCCAGCGCCAAAACTACCACCGCTACGATCACCACAAACGGATGCGACCGCAACCACACCCACCGCGACGATTGCGACCAACACCATTTACCGCCATCACCA